AACAGAGACTTCAGGCAGTCTCCGACTGTAGGCATATTCTAGTCTTTGAACAAGTCTGCTTCCTCGTTAATGTACAACTTCAGTACTTCTTAACAAGGGTGGATATATATATCTTTCTAAGCATAAACTGAATACACAAACATTTGAGGGGGGAAAGTCCTCTTGAACATGCCATGTAATCCCGGTGAACAATTTCTTGACATTGTTGCAGGGACAAATTGTGCCGGAAGAGCATGTTCAAGTGAAGCAGCAGAAGGGAAAGCTTAGAAAAACTATTAAGCAAAAATATTGTTGCAGGGAGGAATTGTGCCGGAATGGCACGTTCAAGTGAAGCAGCAGAAGGGAAAGCTTAGATTAACCATTAGGCAAAAATATTTTTGTAAGTTTTTTTTATAGGTATCCTGACTTGAAGTAAAGAATCAGAGCAAAAGACAAGGCCCTCTCAGGGTCCCTTGTTTCTGGCCTGCCCACGGTTACCTGTTTACACACAGAGCCATTCCCTGCAAAGCACACCTCCCAGACCCACCTCAGCTGAAATTAGGCTTCAATAAATAAACACTTGTTTTAGGCAACTCAATAGTTCGCTGTGGTGTATGCAGTTGATACAAAGGTTTTCCGCACAGGGGCTATAGATATACAGCTTAGATATTGATATACTGCCTAGGTAGAATATTGGAGGAAATGACAAGGCATTCTCATAGAATCTTGTTGCTGCCCTTCTCATGTTTGAAATAGGAAATAGGAAAGCTGTGTTTACATCAGAGGGTGGCAGTGTGGCAACCTTCCTTACTTTCCATATATTCCACTTCCCCCATTGAAATTAGGCTTGAAGGTAGCACTTGATTGTAGCCAAGATAATAGTTTGTGGTGTGTGGTTGACTGTGGTGTTTCTGTGTGCTGCCCATGAGATATTTTTTTCTGGGTGGCACATATGTCCACGGGTCCAGAATAGTTGATGATCCCTGGTCTACATGAACCGGATGCTTCATTCACATAAATAGCAAACAGAAGTATTTTCATCCCCAAAGGTAAAACTGGGGGTAAACTGTATGCTTTTCAATCAGAACAATCTCCATCGGTCACACAAGAAAATGTCATATGCCCATGGCCATGGGTCAGTCACCATTTAGGTTGCTTTTGATGTCTTCAGGCTATAGGGCACCCAGAATTAGACACCAACTGTACTTAAAGCACCAATTTAATTCGGTCATGGCCAATGGCATTTTCTGTTCTTCGCACCATGACTGCCCCCTTGGGGAGACGAGGAGGAGGAGGTGGTGGTGGTAGGGCGTTCTGAAGTCTTGTATTGTGATAAGATGGTTAATATGTGATAGGATAGAGATTTATGAATTTTCCTTCAGTGATGCCAGAAGATGTGTTCTAAGACTATAATAAGAAAGGGGATAGAAGCTAGAATTATACTTTAACTAGGAGGTTTCAGAAATCAGACTCTCCTTCATTGGAGCTTTTTAAACAGAAGTTGTCAGGGATTCTTACATTTAGCAAAACAAGTGTTAATTTACCAATCCCAAGTGTTATTTTACCAATCTTAAGCAAGAGAGGGCACCTGTGTTTGTTTGGTGTCAAACTCATGCCTGACAATTTTGTTGCACACCATCCCAATCTCAGAGCAGCAAAAAATTCCAGGGGTCAGAGGTGGATTCAAGGGAACTTGACATGTTTGGTTGCACAAGACATGGAGTCTTGGGGTGCCATAACTATGACTTAGTATGGAGCATGAGAGGTGGGGGTTTCAGATTTTGGCATCGCACAGGGTGCTGCTGAAATTTGAGATCCCAAGGTTCAGCACTGCAGGGTTTCCAGCTCTAGGTGTAGATGAACCAGACAGTAGAGTCACACTTTAAAATATGAAGTATTTTTCTCCGCTCAAATATCACTATAGGCATATCGGTTAAACTAGGCATTATAGGCATACAAAGGTTGAACTAGGCACACATCATACTGCACATGTCCTGTTTCCACATTATGGTTCCTCGTGTATTCCATAATCACTATCTATGACAGTTTTATTTTAATACCTCCAATCTATAGGACACCTAGATTAGGAGAGAAGTCATTTGTGTCATGGATTCCTCCTCCCTGAATTATTACTCATGGGCTGAAGAACTAGAGAGATGTCTTTCAAGGCATCCGGGGCTCAAGGGGCCCATACAAAGTTGTTTCACATGGAAATGTCTGAGGAATATATGGGGAAATGATTACATATAAAATCACCAATGGGACTTCAAGCACCATTTTATGTTAGTTGTGGTTGATGACATTTTTAGTTCTTTGCACCATTAGTTCTTTCTCCCTTTGTGTGTTCTTTGTGACGTGCACAGAAATGTATCAGTCTGAATTATCTGAATACTTTTATTCAATTTCTTGATTATGAATCAATTCAGAGGCAGCTGCAGGCAAATGAGGGTTTTTGCCTGGGTTCAGATTCACTTCCTCTCACTGTGTATCTCTGCTCCACAGTAATACACAGCCGTGTCCTCAGGTTTAAGGCTGTTCATTTGCAGATAGAGGAGGCTGTTGGAATTATCCTGGAGATGGTGAATCGTCTCTTCACTTTATCCAAGTAGCGAATGTCAGATGAACCTGCATTTATACTTGCAACCCATTCCATGCCCTTTCCCCGAGCCTGTCTTCCCCAGTGCATCCATTTGCTGCTGAAGGTGAACCCAGAGGCTCGACAGGAGAGGCGGAGGGACTCCCCAGGCCTTTTCACATCCCCTCCAGACTCAACCAGCTGGACCTCCGACTGGACACCTAGAAAGAAAGGCATTTTAAGAGACCCGGTGTATGTCTTTAACACCCATCATGTAATAGCTGTTTTCAACAGAAAGGATGGATTTACCTCCAAAGGCTGCTGAAAAGAAAACAAAGCTATCATTTTCCCTGTGTGAGAGCCAGTGTGGTATAGTGGTTAAGAGCGGTAGTCTCGTAATCTGGGGAACCGGGTTCGCGTCTCTGCTCCTCCACGTGCAGCTGCTGGGTGACCTTGGGCCAGTCACACTTCTTTGAAGTCTCTCAGCCCCACTCACCCCACAGAGTGTTTGTTGTGGGGGAGGAAGGGAAAGGAGAATGTTAGCCGCTTTGAGACTCCTTAAAGGTAGTGAAAGGCGGGATATCAAATCCAAACTCTTCTTCTTCTTCTTCTTCTGTGTGAAATGTTGTCCCAAGCATGCAGGCAAAGGGAGGGTGTCTGACTGCCTTTGAGAGGAAGCTTTCTCTGAAGATTTACATACCCATTAGGATAAAAGGACTAGCAGAAACATTTGGCAATGTAGCACTGGAGGTGTGCCTGCTCTTTGCAAAAATATCCTTCTTTGCTACCATACAATTTACACAGCTCTTTACAGTGGTGGATTTATGTATCCGTATGAGCTTAGAAGAACAACACAAGCTTCTTTTTTGAACATGCCCAGTGCCCTTTTTAGGGATGGTGGTGAACGGCTCATTAACTTAAATGGAATGATATGATCAAATGAGGTTTCAGAAAGTTTAGATTGGGAATTAAATAAACATGTAGATAAGGGCACAGCAAAGAGAGAGAAATGTTTGTCAAATGCCTTCTCTTAAAGGTTTTAAACGAAAAGTTAGAAGATACAGTTTATTCTGCCTTAAGACCAAGTAATTCTGCACCAGACAAGGCATGCCCACAGTTCCTTATTTCTACCTTTCTCAAAACAACAAAAGTCCTTTGTAATGTGCCCTTTGCAATGTGTGAATGAGGAAATACGTCCTGGGTTGCTAACATGCTGCCCATAGGTGCCCATCCATCTGCAGAAAGCTTCCCTGGTTCTCCCCCCCCCCCCCCGAGATTAGCCTTTAAATAAGCACAGTCTGTATAACAGGTTGTGGTGTGTGATGGGTTGCTTGTGGTGTTTGTGCATAGTGCCCATAACAGATTTTTCTGATATCCATATGTGCCCATGGGTTGTTGGTGGCTCCTGGCCTACATGAACCAGACACTCGAGTCACACAAAAAAAAAACAAAAAAAAATGAACATTAGAATCTTTTGCTGATCAAACAATCGCTATTGTTATCTCCAAAAGTAGAACTAGGAACAAATGTGTGTTGTTCTAAAGGTCTGCCTATTTCAACCTGCTTACCTAATGAAGAACTTATGCATCCAAAGTTAATGAAAGAGTGGTTTTTGAGATAGATAGATAGATAGATAGATAGATAGATAGATAGATAGATAGATGATAGATAGATAGATGATAGATAGATACATAGATACATAGATAGATAGATAGATAGATAGATAGATGATAGATAGATAGATGATAGATAGATGATAGATATAAATGGATAGATGGATAAATGGATTGATTGATGGCTAGATGGCTAGATGGCTAGATGGCTAGATGGCTAGATGGATAGATGGATAAATGGATAGATGGATAGATAGATGATAGATAGATGAACACTACATACTTATCAGGTGATCTCAACACAGGCATGTGCGCACATGTAGAAAGTGATCTCAATCCAATATGTTAAATTAAACATAAAAAGGCCTTAACTTCCATAGAAATGTGCAGAGTGAGCATCACGTGTTACATAGCCCATGACAAACAGTGATAGAAACAAGAATATAACCATACATAGGAAGGTGTTGAAGACAGGATCAAGATTTCTATATTTTTAAGAGTTATGCTCTCCCCTCTCAAACACTGTCAAGCAATGGATATCTCACCCTTTCCCTGGTCCAGTGTCAACCTGAGTGCTGCAAGGAAGAGCAATGTGAAGTATAGTGAAAATAGCTGGAGCCTCTGAGTGCTGCTTGAACCTGTGCAAAACCATAACCTGGAATGTGTTTTGGGGTCTCATTGTAAAATGGGATGAGTGAATGTTGATGTGCAAAAGGGGACATGAAAATATTCCTTTAAACTATAAGTTGCAATACTTGTTCCTCAAGATTGTAATTGAGAGCAGCCATGTGAAAAGGAGGGTTTTGTCTGGCTTCAGATTCACTTTCTCTCACTGTGTCTCTTGCACAGTAGTACACAGCCGTGTCTTCCAATTTAAGGCTGTTCATTTGCAGATAGAGGAGGCTGTTGGAATTGTCCCTGGAGATGGTGAATCGTCCCTTCACTTTATCCAAGTAGGAAATGTAATCAGATTGAGGATATATGTAGGCTACCCATTCCAGGCCCTTTCCAGGAGCCTGCCTCACCCACGCCATGTAGTAGTTGATGAAGGTGAACCCGGAGGCTTGGCAGGACAGGTGGAGGGACTCCCCAGGCCTTTTCACATCTCCCCCAGACTCAACCAGCTGGACCTCCGATTGGACACCTAGAAAGAAAGGCATATTGAGAGACCAGATCCATGTTATGAACACCTAGAATGTACCAGCTTTCTTTAACTGGAAGAATGAACTTACCTTCAAAAGCTGCTGAAAAGAAAACCAGTTGAAGGAAAACTATCATTTTCCTCGTCTGATTCTTTGAGAGAGTTAAGCAAGAATCGGTCCCACATGTGCATGGGAAGGGAGGTTATCTGACTGCTTTAAAGAGGAAGCTCTCTCTGAAGATTTACATACCCATCGGTATAAAAGCACCAACAGAGACTCTGGGCAGTGAGGGACTAGAGTCATGTCTGCACATTGTCAGAAATCTCCTTCTTTGCTGCTGCACAGTTTGTACAGGTCTTTACAGTGATGCTTTGATGTATAACTCTGGGGGGGGGGGGGAAGCAACACAAGTTTTCAGAAATTCCATCACTTTCAGCATGCCCAGTATTTCTACCGTTGAAGGTGGGGAACAATTTCTTACCATAAATATGGAGAGGAATTGGGCTGGAAGGATATGGTCAAATGAAGCAGAAGAAAATTTAGATTAAATATGAAGTAACACTTCATATCACAGCTCAGCAAAGAAATGAAATGTCTGTGGAATGCTCTCTCTTAAAGGCTTTAAATAAATATATATATGAATAGCATATGTATAGGTATCCCATCTTTATGTTGAATAATAGAGCACATGACATAACATTCTCATAGCTCCTTGTTCTTGCTCTCCTCAAAGCACAGGGAATCCTGTATTTGTAATATATAAATGAGAAATATAAAAGCTGTGTTTACATGGGGGGGGGGTGTCACTAACATGGAGCTCATGTGTGCGTATATTTGCATGTTCAGTAACATTCACTATTTGTTTGTCAAGGCATCCTCCCTATTCTTTGGTCCTCCACAATACCAAGAATAAGATACACAACAACCAATACTTGGGTGAAATCAGGCCACAACTTTATTGACAACAAATGTTTGGCATAGATATTGGGTAAACCCCTCCCCTTTCTGGCAATAAAGGGGTATCTCCTCCATTGGATTGCACCTGGTGAGTACTATGGCCCCTCACCCCTGCCTGGGCATCCCAACAGAAGTATCTCCCCACAATCCCTTTAATGGGATACTCCATTTTGAAGGCAAAGGCTACAACCTCCCCTCAGAACACGACTTTGCCTATCCAATGCGTAAACTGTTAAAGATGTGACCTTGGCAATGAGGATGGCAAAAAGCAGAGGGCTGAGTGGGAAAATTTCAACCTGGTCCCCAATACGGTGATCATCTATGCTATAGCAAGGTGGAGCAGAACAATATGAAATAGCAATATGTAATGTGGGTGGGTGGGAATCCAATGAAAAGTGGCTGCAGAACAAGCCATGGGCCTGTATTACATACTGGAGGAACGAGCTTTAACTTGGTTGCCCATGTTTGCTCCCGATTCACTGATTAGGCAAGTGGACAAGGCAAATTACTGAAGCAACAAGTTTGGCCAAGAGCCTTCCTTTGATGCCTGGGAATCCCAAGTCAGATCCTGGCATGCAAGGGAATGCCAGCCAACAATGACGCCCACCTAAGAGGGTGAATTCATTTCTGACAGTATCCTCTCTCCCCAATGGAAATTTGGTTTCAAAGATGCTCTTTAGTGTAGCCAATAGAACAAGTTGTGGCATGTAGCTGGTTGTGGTGTGTGTGTGTGTGTGTGTGTAGTGCCCATTATAGAATGTTTGATGGCCCTTGAAGTAAATGAAAAAGAGAACTGAATCACATTTTAAAAATATATATTTGTAGATCTGATCCGGAACCTGAGATCATAATTTGAGGCCGTTTTTTATGGTCCTCCTCCACAAGAGGTCTGGAGGCTGGCAAAATGAGAAGGAGCCATTTCTGAAATGTATCCCTGTTTGTGGAATGCTCTCCCCAGTGAGGATTGCCTGGAACCATCATTATACATCTGTAGGCACCAGGCAAAACCTTTCCTCTATAACCAGGCCTTTGGCCTTTAACTATTTGTGGTCTCTTAGAAGTGGGTGAGTTGTTTTTAATGTATTCTTCTTTCCTCTTGGTTTTAACATACCTATGTGGGGTTTATTGTTTCTTTGGTTGTAAGTCTCATTGGATTGCCCTGGGCAAGATTACGGAACTGATAAATTCATAATAATAACACTAATAAATGATTATAGTTTGCCTGGGAAGAGCCCTAGGTGTAAAGCTGCATGACTAGCTGGCTGTCTCCGTTTGAATGGGCAGACTATCAGTCTAAATTATTTTAACAGGTTTCTTTGGTCTCTGGCAGCTAATAGAATGTCCCTATTTTCATTTGAAATGTTGGAGGGAATGCAACTCCTCTGTTTTGATTAAAGGAGGGTTTTTGTCTGGCTTCAGGTTCACTTCCTCTCACTGTGCCTCTTGCACAGTAATACACAGCCGCGTCTTCGGGTTTAAGGCTGTTCATTTGCACATAGAGGAGGCTGTTGGAATTGTCCCTGGAGATGATGAATCTTCCCTTCACTTTATCCAAGTAGTGAATTGTAGCTGAATTGTAGTATATGGAGGCCACCCATACCAGGCCCTTCCCCGGTAGTTGTCTCACCCAGTGCATGCCATAGCCCCCAAAGTTAAACCCAGAGGCTCAACAGGAGAGGCGAAGGGAGTCTCCAGGCTTTTTCACATCTCCTCCAGACTCCACCAGCTGGACCTCAACTGGACACCTAGAAAGAAAGGCATTTTAAGAAGTCTGCTGCATGTTAACAACACCCAGAATGAACCACCCTTCGATAACTGGTATGAGGAATTTACCTCCTAAAGCTGCTGAAAAGAAAACAAGCTGAAGCAAAGCTATCATTTTTCCTTCCTGATGCTTTGAGAGATTTGACCATAATGCGCTCCCTAGTATGCAGCGGTAGGGAGAGTGTTTGACTGCCTTAAAGAGGAAGCTCTCTATGAAATTTACATAACCAGGAGGATAATGTCTGACTGGAAGCAAATGGTGACCTGGCAAAAAATATACTTCTTTGCCATTGCACAATTTGCATAGCTCTTAACCTTGATGGGCTTATGTATCCCCCCCATGCACACAGGCTCCATGATTTCAAAGATGCAAACCATCAAATATATAAATGATGGGGGAGGGTAATGGGTTTGTTGTATGTGCCTGAATGTACATTTCATTCAAAATTACTTTGAAATTGGTCAAAGAAGTTGATCAAGGGAAAATATTAAATGTAGATCAATTCAATCTCTATTGTTGTTGTTCAACCAGAAAATACAGGTAGTTTGCACGGGCGAATGTTTTGAAACAGTTAATATATATTAGTTTTGCATGGCATAATTTTTATTTCTTAAAAAAGTTTCTTATTGCTTCGCTAAATAAAGATTAGGGACACAGGTGATACTGCAGCCTAAACCACTGACCTTTGGACTTGCCGATCAAAAGGTCGGTGGTTCGAATCCCCGCAATGGGGTAAGCTTCCATTGCTCGGTCCCAGCTCCTGCCAACCTAGCAGTTCGAAAGCACGCCAAAAAGTGCAAGTAGATTAATAGGTACTGCTCCGGTAGGAAGGTAAATGGTGTTTCCGTGTGCTGCCCTGGTGTCAGTGTTTCTTGGTGCCAGAAGTGGCTTAGTCATGCTGGATACATGACCTGGAAAAACTGACTGCGGAGCAGAGAAACGCTGGCTCCCTCGGCCTGTAAAGCGAGATGAGCGCTGCAACCCCAGAGTCGTTCGCGACTCAACTGTCAGAGGTCCATTTAACTTTACCTAAATAAAGATTAATAGTTAAATTCCTTATTCATATTATGTCTTATTTTTCCATTTAATAATTATTTGGCTATTATAGAACCACTGAATTGTAGAGCTGGAAGAACCACAGCAATCATCAAATCCGACAACCTGCAAAGCAGGAATATTTTGCCCAACATTGGCTCAAACTCATCACCCTGAGATTAAGATTCTCAAGCTCTACTAACTGAGTTATGTATGTAGTTGCCCTCCTTGGCACGCTTTCCAGCTGGTCAATATCCTTGTTTAATTGTGGCACCCTGAACTGGACACAGTTTTTTAGGTTGAAGCGTGCTCACCGGTCTTCAGCTGCTGCCTTTAAAATAAACATTTTCTCATTGATTTCAGCTTCTCATGTCCTGTTTGGTCAACTGCCTCTCATCCAAACTAAATTTTCAGCCACATTTCACTTTTAATCATAGCAATGTGTTGGAAAGTGGACTCCAAAATTATGCAGAAGTCTCTTAAGGGGGCAAACTCTCAAGGGGTCTGTACAATATTCATTTTCAAGGAAGCAGATGAGGAAATGATCTGTTTTGTGGTAGAAAACACAAGGCAACATACGTTACTCAGATGCCATTTGACCTTGCGGTCAACCATGTTTTGTCTTCTTTATAAACTACTGTACTCTTGCTTGAAGCAGAAGGAAGATTTGTGTCTTGTGTGAAACAGACGCCTCATTCAACCCACGACCATGTTCCAAATATACTTACAAGACAGCTGTATTTTGGATCAAACAGGCCACAGATGTACAGATTTGGCATAGGTATAATAATCGAACCACCAGCATTATAACTTGTAATGTTGTATGCACATAGCTTTCTCTGTGAGAATGGAAATAGAGGAATCTGACTATTGCCTCAATTATCTAAAAAAAATTGTTTTCTTTCTTGCAACCGAACCTATTCAGAGTTCAGCTATAAGCAAGAAAGGGTTATGGCTTGACCTCAGATTCACTTCCCACAACTGTGTCGCTTACACCACAATACACTGCCGAGTCCTCAGCTTTGAGGCTGTTCATTTGCAAATAGAAATGGCTGTTTGAGTTGTCCCTGGAGATGGTGGAGTGCCTTTTCACCACATCCAAGTAGTAACTTGTCACTGAATCCATTGCTATCAGGGACACCCATTCCAGGTCCTTTCCCAATACATGTTGGAGCTCCTGAAGGTGAACCGAGAATTTGACAGGACAGGCGGAGGGAATCCCAGGTCTTTTGATGTCTCCCCCCCCCCCCGCCTCAACCATCTGAACTTCTGATTTGGCACCTGGAAATAAAGGCATTTTAAGACGCTTGTCCATACTTCGGCTAGTGTTGTGCCTAGAAAACACAGGTCTGAGCGGTTTCACTACTTCCCAAGGGAAAACTCCCTCTTTAGTGATAGATAAAAAGAAATTGCAATTTGGAGAAACCACAAATGGCTGTTTGCTCCAATGGAGCACTAAAGAACAGTTTGCCGGGGGAAGGGGGCAGTTATCAGCGAGACAATGGATAAGGCCTCAAGATTAAGCAATTTCCTTTAACTGAAAAGATGGATTTACCTCCAAATGCTGTTGAAAAGAAGACAAGTTGAAGCAAAACTATCATTTCCCCTCTTGAATTATATGAGATGGTTTAGTGAAAAGTGGTCCCAGGAATTCAGGGTTTTGTAACTGGGGCAGGGTTAGCGCCTAACTGACATGGAGGAAGCAGCTCTTTGGTGGCTTATTGCTGCATATATATTTTTAATAAATAGTATGCTTATTTACTAAAGTACACTATAAAAGAGAAACTCTGGGACGTTCAAATTAAATATCCTTTTAAGGCAGAGTATAGTGAGGAGGTGAACATATCTGCTTTTCTCAGGGCAGGTCAACTCTGGTGAGACTTGGGAAATTAATATGAATATAATGTGTGACTTTGCAAATACAATTACCTACATGAATCAGGAAATTTACTTGCATCAAGAAGAGAAGAAGAGTTTGGATTGCATATCCCGCTTTATCCCTACCCGAAGGAGTCTCAAAGCAGCTAACATTCTCCTTTCCCTTCCTCCCCCACAACAAACACTCTGCGAGGTGAGTGGGGCTAAGAGACTTCAAAGAAGTGTGACTAGCCCAAGGTCACCCAGCAGCTGCATGTGGAGGAGCGGGGACGCAAACCCGGTTCACCAGATTACGAGTCTACCGCTCTTAACCACTACACCATTTCTGCTCTCCATCATTATCAAGTGTTGGCAAGCAGTCCTTTTTTAGTCTTGACAAAAACAAGCAAAATAAAGGCATCAGTAGAGGAGATCTAAATATTGTCTGACTGGACCACACCTCCTTCCATTGGCATTTTCTATTCTTGACACCATCGTTTCCCTCTTGTGGGGAACAGGAAGAGAGTGGAATATAATTCCAGGAATCTTGGTTTCTGACAAGATGCTTAATTTTCAAAATGACATTTGGCATAGATTTGTGGGTATACTGTCTAGTGACATGGGGAAGAGAAAAGCAGCACCGAACATGTAGTTGCAACTAATACACATTTCAAGTATTAGAGATTGATTTTTAAAATTATTATTGTTTCAGTTAATTCTTCTCTTAACATACCACAGAATATACCATTGCTGAACAGAGCTGCCAAACCATATGTTTTCCATATCTGATTATTTTCCTCACCACAATCGAGAGGGTAGGTGTTGGGGAATAAGTGTTATGTATGCACATAAACACAATTCCCATGGAATTTATAATATTTATTTCCAGCATTTTATTCTAGCTTTTCCTCAGAATTCAAGGTGCTATACATTATATCACCCTCCTCATATATTCCCCATAATACCCCAGTAAGGTAGGTTCAGACTGAGAGGCTTTGACTGACCCAAGGTCATCTAGTGAGCTTCATGCACAAGTAGGTATTTGAACCCGGGTTTCCCATGTCCTATGTGCTGCAGAGGAGCTTTCAGCCCATGCCAAGAGGTGATGGGATGATGAAGAAATACACAATGGCCAATTCACAATATTGTAAAAAGTCTACATTTCTTCTTGAGGTCTATTGCAAGCAGCCTTAAGCATAACTCAGAGGTAAGAGCAGACAAAACACAAATAATCATCTATTTTCAAAACTGGATATTGAACTTAGGTGGTAGGGAAAAAATGCTGCAGCAAAGTCATTTTGTACAGTGTTCTACTGATCCACATTGGTCTGACCTCCATTGTGTGTCACTTCTGCAGGTTTCCATCAGTATAATCGTTTCTGCATTATATTACAGATTGAAGAGGCAGGCAGTTTGGATGTTGTACCGCATCATCTGTGGAATGTAGAATTGCTCTGTCACTGTTTTCACAGTGTATTTGTTTATAGAAGCAGGACTTCTACTTTTGAACAGGGCTCAATAGGCTTTGTCTCACTGTGTCTTCTCGGGCACAGAAATACACAGCGGAGTCTGCAGCTGTCAGGGAGTTCAGCTGGAGGGAGAATTCATTCTTTGAGGCATCTGAAGAAATGCTTGCTCTGCTCTTCAGAGAAGGGGCATATACTTGTGTCTCCATCATAGGGGTATATCCTTGCAATCCATTCCAGACCTTTCCCAGGAGCTTGACGGATCCAACTCCACTCATAGTACCCAGTAGAGATGGAGAAATCTGTGACTTTACAAAGCAGGTTGAGATTCTCTCCTGGTCTCACTATTCCTGGCCCAGATGATACAAGCTGAATGTCTGAGGAGACCCCTTGGAAAGAGAAAAGATGGCAATGAATGGTTGTTCGTCATCAAATCACCACATGAAGTAAATTAATTTGCAGAACTTCCCATACCTTTAGAAAGCACCACGAAAGAAAACAAAAGCAACAAGAGCTCCATAATGTTGATGAATAAATGTGTGCTAGAGATACAGGAAAGAGGGGACTCTGGGCTGGGAAGCAAGTGAAGATTTTATATTCAGGGTTTTTCAACCGAAACTACTCCCAACTTCCTGGTGGCATTTACATGAGACCTCCCCAGTGAGGCGCAAGAGGCAGATAAAAGCCATTTTGGCGATCAGGGTTTGCTGCTGGTTTCCTCTTTGTTCCCCGCACAAACACAAACACACAAAGACAAATGCACACAGAGTGGAGTTCTAATGGAGGGGGCATAGATGGAATGCATAATTCACTCAAAGACGTTGGTGTTGGAGGAAGGTTTGGAAGAGATTAATGAACTGGGGAAGCATTCTTCTTTTATACTTTAA